TCATCAGGTGAAGGGACGAGACTGTCTGGTAGGACAGCGCTGGAGTCAAAAAGCCACGCTCAGATCACGACCTTTAAGCTGTGTGAGAAGAAACAAAGCGCCTTGACAAAGGAATTAGCATATAATTTTAGCATTGAAATGGCTGAGTGATTAGCTTGTGACTGGTCACAGAAATGGCTATGTTAAAGTTAAAGCATACACATCCGCAGAGGCACCCCTTGACAAAGGAATTAGCATAGAATTTAGCATTGAAATAGCTAAGTTAAAGCATACACATCCGCAGAGGCACTCCTTGACAAAGGAATTAGCATAGAATTTAGCATTGAAATAGCTGAGTGATTAGCTTGTAACTGGTCACAGAAATAGCTATGTTAAAGTCAGAGCATACACATTCACCGAGGCACCTAGTACAAATCAAACAGGAGAATTTAGCATTGAAATAACTAGGCGAATTTAGCATTGAAATAACTGAGTGATTAGCTAGTGACTGGTCACAGAAATGGCTATGTTGAAGTCAAGGCCTACACATCTGAGCTATTCACAGTAACTGGGTATACAATACAATATATAATGAATACTATATAGTGAACCAATAAAAAACTAAAATATAAATTACCTTAATGTTATCAATAAACTCTATATTCTCCAATCAGCTAAGCTACCAACAATAAGTCGTTATATATCACAATGCTATATGGCGAAAAAATGGGTGGATTCTTACCCTCAACTTTAGCAACACGGATAGCTACGGGCCCCGTTCAGACGGACGAGTTCATCCATGGTCGGAACAGAGGAGGGGGAGAGAGACAGCTGCGAGGCGCTGTTATACTCCATGTTGTAAACCATACCATTAACCGTGGTGCGAGAGGTATTAAGAGTCAATGCTGGCGAAAGAGCTGCGGTCTGAAGGTCATCGTAAAATACAATTAATTAAGAACAGAAATGGTTTAAAACATCTTTCCAATGGTTACAAAGCCAGAATCCATCTTCTCGGTTGAAATTGTCTCTGTGCTTGTATATGTGAATGGCCTCATGAACGAATCTCTCATGGTAGCCGGTTGGTTTGCAAAGAACCTCTGTCTTGGAAAAGTCAATGGCATGTGAGCCCACTGAATTATAACAGTGATCTGCCACGGCAGAGGAGTTCGTCCTACCGTGTTTCAAGTCTGCTTTATGTTCGCGGATGCGGTCCGAGATATGTCTTTTGGTTTCTCCAATGTAGCTACTACCACAGAGGCAACTTAGTTTGTAGACACCAGGGTGCTGCATATCCGGAATCACATCTTTTACAGATGGAACTAAATCACGGATTTTATGTAGTGTTGAATCGGACCTGGATCTTGTGTTTATTCAGGATTTTGGAGATCTTTTTAGTGACCCCTGCAATGTAGGGTAAGGTGATGGTTTTGAGTGGCTCCACAAGAGGATCCTTCTTCATGACTGGAGTGATGGCTTTGCGGATTGTGTAGTCGGAGTAACCATTAGCCCTGAGAGCCTGGTGTACGTGCTTGAGTTCACTGGTAATGTGTTCCTGGTCGGAAATGCATTGGGCTCTATGGTATAGAGTCTTGATGAGGGAGTTCTTCTGGGATGGATGGTGGTGGGAATCCGGTTTCAAGTAAGCATCTGTATGGGTAGCTTTCCTGTAGACAGAGTGGCTCATTGAACCATCATGTCTCCTTTTAATTAAGACATCCAAAAAGGGTAGTTTGCCATCTTTTTCGACCTCCATGGTAAATCTGATGGCTGGGTGTATGGAATTGATGTGGTCGCGGAATTGGTCTAGAGCAGGCTGGAAATGTGGCCAGATGACAAAGGTGTCATCCACGTACCTCTTCCATAAGGTCAGGCGTAGAGTGGCAGTCTGGATGGCGTCAGTTTCAAATTTTTCCATGAATACGTTGGCTACAACTGGAGATAGGGGGGAGCCCATTGGGGTGCTCTCAGTTTGTTTGTAGAAAGTTCCATTCCAGGTGAAGTATGTGTTGGTTAAGCAATGTCTCACCAGGGGGGGTACATCAGTATGCAGTCCTTGATGAACCAGGTCTTCAATGATAGCGATGGTGTCAGGTACCGGGACTTTGGTGAACAAGGACACCACATCAAAACTGACAAGCAGGTCGTCTGGGGACAGGGAAATGCCTTTGATTGTCGATACCAGGTGAGTAGAATTTAGTATCGCAGAGGTGCTTTTTCCAGTGAAAGGTCGCAGTATATCAGCAAGAAAACGTGCCAGTTTATAGGTGGGGGAGTTGATAGTAGAGACGATGGGACGAAGGGGTGTATCTTCTTTGTGTATCTTTGGAAGGCCATATAATCTTGGTGGTTTGGCAGCAGAGGGTTTCAACGAGAACTGTTTGATCTCATCAATTAATGCTGTTGAATCAGAGATGATTTTGTTCGTTTTGGTAACCAGGCTGTTGGTGGGATCTCTTTTTATTTTTGTATAGCTGCCATCGTTGAGTAGTTCTTGAATTTTGTTGTTATATTCTGTTTTGTCCATGATGACAGTGGCATTGCCCTTGTCGGCTGAGAGGACGACAATATCATCCCTCTTTTTTAATTGAGATAATTCAAAATGTTCGTCTTTGCTGATGTTGCTGGGTGGCAACTTAGCGTTTTTGAGGGTTGCAGCGATTTCAGATCTTGCTACGTCTGCAGAGATGTGACTCAAGCCCTTGAGTGCAACGTCGAAATGGGCAATGATATCATTAACCGTTAAGTGTCTCGGTATGACAGCAAAGTTTAGACCTTTAGCTAAAACGGATTTCAGACCATCAGAAATGGAACTGTTGCTGCGATTAATTACGACTTTGTTGACGTCTATCTTTTCGGTGTGCGGATCCGATTTTTTGCTGGAGAGGTGATTGAATTTGGAAATCAAATTGTCCCTACATTTGGTCGACATAGTGGCAGCCGAAGAGGTAGTCATATTGTCTACATGTTCCCAATCCGATGTAGACATTGTTGCTGTCAATGTTAAGTGTGATTTGTAGAGTGTCTTGTCTAACTGATCGAGTTCGGTGCGTGTAAGTCTGATTTTTTCTGAGATAAGAGCGAAGCTAGTTCTAGCTAGAATTCGTTTTGCATTGAGAGAAGTTGCAACAGCAGAGGTTAGTGTAAATGCGGTTGGTATTACCTTAGAGTCACGGCATCTCTTCAGCGCTGTCCTACCAGACAGTCTCGTCCCTTCACCTGATGAAGGCCGCTTGTGTTGTGGCCGAAACGTCGTGAGAATATTATTGTGTTATTTTATTTTATCAATTTATTATTTTATTCTCATTCTACGTGACTTTACCGAAAGAACCAAAGAAGACTAATATTTTTGTTTATCCAGTTTTTTTTATTCAACGAAAGTTAAGCTCCTCGATCAAAGGACTGCGCTGTGAATATAAAATAAGATGCAAATGTAATTATTTTTTACGCTAAACGATACGCGCAGTGGCACAGCGGCAGCACATCCGCCGCTTGTTGCAGCGGCGCACGGTTCGATTCCGGCAGGCAGCCCTGGTTATTGCTGCGGCATGCGTTACTCACGGTGAGCGTTAAAGATCCCCTGGCGTCAGTCGAAGCGAGTAAACCCATTGTGTGCCGAATACCAAACGTACAAAATCACTGCTATTAACAAGAATTCAAATTTATAATGCGCATTCCATCCTTGGATCCCAAATGCGTATTTGAGAACGCAACGCGTTTGTAAATTCTATGCGTGGCATCGGGCACAAGGTGGTGCACTAGTTCCTGCGAGAGTTCTGAGTGGAAGAAAAAAAGCATCTAACCATGGGACCTTTTTTTGCCAATATACAAAATGATAAAATAATGAAAAATAGATCTTCCCCTTTCTGGCGATAAAAGAGGAGGTGTTAAGATGTTCAACCACCAAATAGACACCCTTTTTTCAAGGCATCAAGTCTGCATTGACCGTGCGTACTTAAGAGCATAGGTGTAACTGATTGACCCGAGCTGTCAGTGTTCTGACACTTGCATTGCCTTTGTCACTGTTCGCCTCTTGGCGTTATTCTCTGGTCTGACCAGGCACGAAAGAAGGCTGTCTCTGGTGTAGGCCAATCAGTTTCGAAGACAATGCCATTATATTATCAGAGCGTGTTTGTTTGCGGGTTTGTGTGTTTTAATGCAGACTTTATGCCTTTGTAAAAAATTTTTTATCTATTTGGTGTTTGCACATCTTAACACCCCCTATTTTATTGCCAGAAAGGGGACGCCTGTAGCACAATCGGAATGTAAGCGTGAGGAAAAAAAACATCAAACAGAAGTTAGCGTGGAAACAATTGTAGCTCTTCGACGTGTTGCCAGGTCCTACTCGCCAATGGCGGAGCCAGGATTCTCAGGTAGGGGGGGGGGAGGGCATCCCCTCCAGCAATGAAAAACGATAGAGGAGTTGTTAGTAAGTAAGGAACTTGTCCCTTGCTTTTAATTCGACGCGTTGTGTGATCGGCATCGCGCTCGCTGAAGGTGTTGATGCCTTCAGGGAAGTCGTGGACTCTGTATAAGCAATTGCACACAATTCTGAGTCACTTATAACTGCTTTGCCGTTACTTATTGCCAATTATGGACTCAGACTATTGTCCTATCATCTCATAGAGTCCCTGGCACGTAATAATATGCTACACAGTGGCAGTGCGGGTGTCAAAATGTCGATTTATTACGAATAAACCCCAATGATCCGATCTAAATCCCTAATTTCGATCATTGGGAGGGCACGTGCCACCCCCCCCCCCCCCCCCACCGGGGGGGGGGGGGGGGGTGGCTACCCGCGCGTGTCGTTCAGCACGATGTCCGACGTTTCGCTCCAAGTTCCGCGAGCTTGCTCGAGAACTGCTCGTGCCAAACAGCACGTGGTGCAAATCCGGCAGCGCATCTGAGCGCCGTGCAACGCAACACCGAACACCGTGGCGGCCGCGAAGACGGGAAAAACAATTCTTGCCGTGTGTTTCATTTCATCGAAGTGATGTGTGCTGTGCTTTCTTTCTGTCTTTGAGGAGTGTGACCAGTCCCACATAGACGACGTCTCAGCAGACGACAACGGGCAAGACCTAGGGTGAGTGAGGCATCCCCCCCCCCCTCTCCATCCACAGGCCAGCGCCGCACATCCGACTCGTCAGAGGCCGAGTTATAGGCGGATATGTGAACGGGTCAGATGTGTGAACGTCAATACACGATGACAGTTACGGCGTGTGCATATACTGCGCTGGTTGTGGGCGGTTAATTGGTCAGGGCATACATGTGAATACGTTCATAGTTCATAGTTTCATTTATTTGGTATAGCCCTGTGAGCCATTCGGCTCTTGAATCGGGTGCAACCGCAACAAACAAAAAAACTAAAACATGAACAAGAAAACATCTTAAAGTGACTATGTGACTGTGCAAACAGAAAATCCAGGAAAAAACATCAAAATATTCGTGAAATAGCACCGTACACCAACGCTGTGTGCAAAAATCCCAGTGGGATGCAAGTCAAACAACAACAACAACAAGAAAACTTAGATTAAGGCCATCAGTCTAACTCCGTACTACAATAAACAAAACATGGCCAAACCAAAAAAACGTGCGACGGTCGGATATGCGACGTACTGTATTGAAACTATGAACTATTTTTTATTTTACCAGGTAAGGCCCACTGAGCTATGAGCTGGTTTTTTTAGTAGCGACTTGGCCACAAATGATAGGTCAACGAAGTTAGGGTAAATGTATAGCAGCCAAATACTCTAGACGCTCGATGATGATTCTCAACGTGGAGGGGAAAACCGGAGGACCTGGAGAAAAATCCACGCGACCACGGGGAGAGAGAGAGAGACCAGGCAAACTCCACACATACAGGCGTCAGGTTCGGGATGGAACCCACGACCTCCTGCATACCAGGCGTGGCAGTCAACATCTCCTAGCCACCGTGGCACCCTCGTTCCATCTGCCCGGCGGAGCATGCCCGAACTTCCGCTGCCGACTGGCCACCTGGGCCTTGGCGAAAGCCTCTCAACGTAGCGTCAACATTCGGCGCGTAGTGATGCACCCGTGCAACCACAACCCCCGCTCGACGCGTGACGCCGTCGAATCGTGACCCACAATCAGTCGAATCGTGACCCACAATCTCAGCAGCGCCCGCTCGGGCCAGTGAGCCGCTCTGCCACCCCAAACGGTGTGAATCCATAAAAGTGTCTCAATTGCGGCCACATTTTAAAACGGTGCCGCATGTATTATGCGTGTAGGATTGAATATCTTTATTGTGGTAGTAGTGGGAATAATAATAATAATGCTAAACAACGAACATTTGTTGGTTATTGGATGATGGTTCTTGGTGGTGGTGGTGGTGGTTCAGAGGCAATGCAAAAGCGCAAGCCGTCTGGAACGCTCTTCCCTCAAATATAAGGAAGCCACTGGAGCTATGCACTTTTCAAATCTAGATTGAACACTTATTCCTTTAGAACTGCTTCTTTGCGTGTAGTGTGTTGGCCTTTCCCCCGCACATCCTATTAGCACGGTTGGCTACGTACGGTGCAAAACAAATTCAGCATACATATATACAAGGTGCTTCAAAAGATTGTTAACACTTACATGGGACGATCATTCATGATGGGGAAAATGAACGGATAATACTACACTGTAACACGATAACAAAAGTATCTTAATAGCTTCAAAAAATCAAAGAGTCTCCCACTTGTTCGCCATCGTTGTCAACACGTGCCCTGGAATCTTCTCCAGGTGATCTCCAGAGCCCGGAGTCACGCTTCTTGTGGTATTGTTGCAAGTTCTCCGAAGTGTTCACATTTTTTTGAAGCACCCTGTACATTCGAGGGGTCACCCCTATTCTTAAAAAACATTGCACTCTGACCAAATGTATTTTTACTACATTATAGCCCTCGATGTAAATGCCGGTATTATTATTATTATTTATACTTACTACTATTGATGCTTGCTGGATGTTAACGATGGAAATGAGAGTGACGGCTGTGACGACGGTGACGACGGTGATCCTTCCCGCCGGCAGGACGTACAACTTTGCGACGGACGGGTTCTGCACGGCGAGCGGCAGCGGCGGGGGGCTCTGCGCGGCCACGGGCGTGCGCGGTGGAAGCGAGTGGATGAGAAAGCTCGCCTTCCGCTACCGGCACATTAAGGAGATTTACAACACCTACAAGAACAACCTGCCAGGCGAGCGGGCTCGCTTTACCGCTCACCACGCGCGCAAACAGACCGTCGCACCTCCGAGTCGCGCGGTTCACAATCGGAGATTATTTATACTGGAGGAATCCGGTGAGCTTTAAAGCTCTTGTTTCACAGGTGTCCAGTAGACATCCGCGAACCTCTACTGGTTAAGCTACGTACGGCGTGAAAGAAGTTCAACATACGTACACCAAGTTTGGTTTCTCACTTAATTTGACTTATTGCAGCTCTGAGAATTAGGATTTTTTTGTTCAGTTTTTTTTTTGTTACCTTGCACGGGGCTTGTGAAATGTGTGTCCTTGGTTGTGTTCTCCCTCGCCGACAGAGTGGAGCCACCTCGACACGAGTCTCGGCCTCGTAGGCTCATTCTTATCCAGTCAAACATTTCCTCCTCCTCCTCTGTGTTACTCTCCACGCACGGCCGCAAAGGCCGGCCAGCTGGCGGCGCTGCCTCCGGCATTGCGCATGCCCGCATGCACAATTTGAACGTTATTTTGCGGCTATAAATTTCTACACGAACAGCCACTTCATTGAGCTATCACTTGTGGCCAGGTCGCTTCTGAAAAAGAAGCTAATATCCCAGTGGGCTTCACCTGGTACGAATTTTTTTTTTGTTTCATGTGTATGTATTAAAAATGTGCTTACCTTTCCTATACTTTGCACTCCTATTTGCGTTCTTGTATCATTTGTTCTGACGTTTTGACCTGCCCCTACTGGACATCTGTGAAAAAAGAGCTTTACAGCTCATCGGATTCCTCCAGTAGAAATAAATATTCCGATTCCCGATTTTGATTAACGTAGAATTATGCTTCGCTTGCTGCTGCTGCTGCTGCAGGTCTGCTTGGGCCGGTGAAGGGTGAGGCGTGGCTGCAGCTGCTGCCCGAAATCGAGAACCTCACCGAGTCGTGGCTCATGTTGGCCCACAAGTGCCTGTCGCTCATCCACTCCAGGTGCGCGCACAATCACAGCCCCGCCGCTCCCGGACGCTCGTTGCACCCCCGGTGCCACTGCGAGCGGTTTTAAAATCTGTCGTCGTTGTTGTGACGGAGCTGGGGTTCTACACTCGTGAGTGTAGTTTATTTTCTTTTCATGTACATCGCTTCGAGATAAAACCAAAAATTTGTTTTTTATTTCACCAGGTAAGCCCCATTTATTTATTTCACCAGGTAAGGCCCAGAAGCAACCTGGCCACAGAATGATAGCTCAATGACGTGGATTATCACGTGGAAATTTATAGCAGCCACATACTCTAAACGCATGCTTCTAAATGTGGAGGGGAAAACCGGAGGAGCCGAGAAAAATCCACGCGACCACGGGGAGAACACGCAAACTCCAAATATACAGCAGGCGTTAGGGTCGGGATCGAACCCAAGACCTCCTGTATAACAGGCGAGGTAGTTAACATCTCCTAGCCACCGCAGCGCCCCATATTATGATGTGAAAGGCGCTTTTTTAAATGGACGTTACCATCATTATGATAGGGTTGCCAGGATGTGGAGATCGGAATACGGTTTATTTCCACGAGTAAACCCCATTGAGGTCTTTGAGAGCAACTTGGTCAGCAGACAACAACGGCGATACTCCGGCATATCATACGGTGTAAGGTCGATGATACGATAACCAACATATCCATTTTACAAGACATCATGACGTTGTGATTATCATTTCTCACCCCTCTTACTTCTGACTCCTAACTCCTCGCATTATTTAATATACGCCCAGCTTGGTAATAATGACTGAAAACAGCCACCCGTGTAGCCTTTAACAGACTATTGGAGGAAGTTTCTGTGAGCGAGCACACGTGAAGGCCGGCACGGTGCATGAGGGGGGTGGGTGGCCAGCACCACGCCCGGCCGCTTTTGTCTCCCTCGTGGCGATGTTAACACACCGCACCAGGTACTCATTTGAGTCGACCTAAGGGGAGGCCAACCTGGATCAGCTCAAATATGCGCTACTGTGATTGCTCATGAGCGGGAATCGAACTCGTGTGGCCGGGTTCGTAGTGCAGCACGCTAACCGCTACACTGCCGCTCCCGTGACATGCACACACACACACACGCGTACAAAAAACGATCACATTAACTTTGGTTTCTTAATTAATTTGGCTTTTTGCAGCTCTGAGAATTCAGATTTTTTTTTAAGTCTGTTTACCCTTGGACCGGGCATGTGAAAGGGTTGATCCCTGGTGTGTTCCCCTTGCCGACTCAGTCACCGCAACACAAGGATCGGCCTCGCAGGAGCATTCGTGTCCAGTCAAACATTTCCTCCTCCACCCTCCCCCCCCTCACTTTTCACCAACTTGAAAGAAAAGGGTCAACAATGCCTAACGTCCAGCCTCTGGTTCAATCGCCAATAATCATCGGCCATGATCAATCCACTGCTGGATGAAGGCCTCCCCACAATTCGTCGCCATCCCCTGCGTGAAAATAATGAACTTTTTCTTCTTCTCAAAAATAAGCATCCTCTGAAACGGACGTCGAAGAAGCAGCCCCAAAAAGGCAATGAATGCGATGGCTTTAACTTGGTCCTTGGTTGAGCTGGGAGTTGAGGAGGAATTTACGGAGCGTCGTGTGCTTGTCGCGGGATGCAGGAGTAACAGCGAGAACGTTCTGGTGACGACAACGCAGCTCATCCCGGCGCTGTCCAAGGTGCTGCTCTACGGCTTCGGAGAGGTGTTCCCCATCAACAACATCTTCAGTGCCACCAAGATGGGTAAGGCCCACGGAGCTACAGCGAGGGAAACAAGTATTTGATCCCCTGCTGATTTTGTACGTTTGCCCACTGACGAAGAAATGATCAGTCTATAATTTTAATGGTAGGTTTATTTGAACAGTGAGAGACAGAATAACAACAACAAAATCCAGAAAAACGCATGTCAAAAATGTTATGAATTGATTTGAATTTTAATGAGGAAAATAAGTATTTGACCGCTGTGCAAAACATGACTTAGTACTTGGTGGCAAAACCTTTGTTGGCAATCACAGAGGTCAGACGTTTCTTGTAATTGGCCACCAGGTTTGTACTCATCTCAGGAGGGATTTTGTCCCACTCCTCTTTGCAGATCTTCTCCAAGTCATTAAGGTTTCGAGGCTGACGTTTGGCAACTCGAACATTCAGCTCCCTCCACAGATTTTCTATGGGATTAAGGTTAGGCCACTCCATGACCTTAATGTGCTTCTTCTTGAGCCACTCCTTTGTTGCCTTGGCCATGTGTTTTGGGTCATTGGCATGCTGGAATACCCATCCACGACCTATTTTCAATGCCCTGGCTGAGGGAAGGAGGTTCTCACCCAAGATTTGGTGGTACATGGCCCCGTCCATCGTCCCTTTGATGCGGTGAAGTTGTCCTGCCCCCTTAGCAAAAAAACACCTCCAAAGCATAATGTTTCCACCTCCATGTTTGACGGTGGGGATGGTGTTCTTGGGGCCATAGGCAGCATTCCTCCTCCTCCAAACACGGCGAGTTGAGTTGATGCCAAAAAGCTCCATTTTGGTCTCATCTGACCACAACACTTTCACCCAGTTGTCCTCTGAATCATTCAGATGTTCATTGGCAAACTTCAGACGGGCATGTATTAGTGCTTTCTTGAGCAGGGGGACCTTGCGGGCGCTGCAGGATTTCAGTCCTTCACGGCGTAGTGTGTACCAATTGTTTTCTTGGTGACTATGGTCCGAGCTGCCTTGAGATCATTGACAAGATCCTCCCGTATAGTTCTAGGCTGATTCCTCACCGTTCTCATGATCATTGCAACTCCACGAGGTGAGATCTTGCATGGAGCCCCAGGCCGAGGGAGATTGACAGTTCTTTTGTGTTTCTTCCATTTGCGAATAATCGCACCAACTGTTGTCACCTTCTCACCAAGCTGCTTGGCAATGGTCTTGTAGCCCATTCCAGCCTTGTGTAGGTCTATAATATTGTCCCTGACATCCTTGGAGAGCTCTTTGGTCTTGGCCATGGTGGAGAGTTTGGAATCTGATTGATTGATTGCTTCTGTGGACAGGTGTCTTTTATATAGGTAACAAGCTGAGATTAGGAGCACTCCCTTTAAGAGTGTGCTCCTAATCTCAGCTCGTTACCTGTATAAAAGACACTTGGGAGCCAGAAATCTTTCTGATTGAGAGGGGGTTAAATACTTATTTCCCTCATTAAAATGCAAATCAATTTATAACATTTTTGACATGCATTTTTCTGGATTTTTTTGTTGTTATTCTGTCTCTCACTGTTCAAATAAACCTACCATTAAAATTATAGACTGATCATTTCTTTGTCAGTGGGCAAACGTACATAATCAGCAGGGGATCAAATACTTTTTTTCCCTCACTGTATGCAGCTCATTTTTCAGAAGCGACCTGGCCACAAATGATAGCTCAACGAAGTGGCATATCACGTGGAAATACATAGCAGCCAAATACTCTAAGAGCATTATTATAAATGTGGAGGGAAAAACCAGAGGACCCGGAGAAAAATCCACACGACTATGGGTAGAACATGCGCACTCGAAATGAACAGGCAATGCACCTCCCCATTGAGCTCATAGAGAGCGTGAAAAGCCACTGCAGGTTGTGATTCTTGGACGGCGCTTAAAGCAAGCCGATTAGTGTCCTATCCCCTCCGCTATAGCTCCTCCACACAGTTAAACTAAGCCACCTCATGCCCTATTCCTCGTCGCTTGTGAGACAGTGGCGCTTGCCCTTGGTACACACGTGTTGTGGCGTGCGTCCGCCCGTGTGCGTATATACAGGAAAGGAGAGCTGCTTCGAGCGGATTGTATCTCACTATGGACGGAAGGTGATTTACGTCGTCATCGGAGATGGAGTGGAGGAAGAGCAAGTGGCCAAAAAGGTAGAAACACACACGTGCACAGTCTGCAGAGAGACCTATCCAAGCTTAACGCTGGCATCGTGGAAATGTCACTGCGTGTGCCTCTCGTGTCAAGCAAAGATGAATGGCACGCTTGAAATACGGCGTCACATCGTGGATACTTAGCGTAGGCAGGCTCAACGATGCTTGCTACCAGATTGATGAAGGCAGTTCATCCCAAAGATAACGAGATGAACGTTGGAAATTCTACGTATGGTGCGATTCGGATCTACCGAGCATCTAAACGCGACCACGTCTCAAGGTGCCGTGGCACACTAACGATGGCGCACATTCAGGGATCGGTGTGGGTAGAGGGGTATTATTTTCTTTTTTATATAAAAGGCAAAGGTGGGCGCAACGGAGGGAAGGTTTACGGGTAGGGGGAATGTAGTGATGGCGGCGGCAGGAGAGAGGGAATAGCACGATAAGCGGAGCAGTGGTGGTAATACACCCACCGCCTGTAATCCGGCACTTTGGAGACGATGGGTGGATGGCATAAATCTCTCGAAACTCCTTCCCCGTGGGCGACAAGGAGCCATATCCTGGATCGCCAGGGGAAGGCAGTACAGCAAAAATGTGGACACCTGTTCCGTTTGTACGGGATAGTTTCCCAGTCGCATGCGTAGGTTTTCTCCAAGCGCTCCGGTTTACTCCCACATGTAAACGCCAGTTAATTGGCTCATAACACCTTAATATGTAGAGGATCGCAGAGCATGGGGAAAATTGTTTGTCACCGGCTCATCGCGTGTGGCGGCCGCCTTCTCACTCGTCTGCAGTTCCTCGCGCTTGAGTCGTGCCGTCTCTACCAAAAAGAGTGAGCGATTACTGTGCAGCGCGTCACAAGTTTCAATTATTATTATTACAATGAGCAAAGACCGGCTGAAGGTTTCGACACGTTTTGGTTGCTTGGGCAGAGGGGGCTGGGTTGAGCAGTGAGTCGGAGCACATGCAGTGAGTAACCACTGTTTTTTTTTTTTGCATGGATCTGGAATTCAGCTCCACATGCCTTTCTGGAAGATCTCCAGCCACTCGGATTTGGTGGCCCTGCACCAGGCCCTCGAAATGGACTATTTGTAGCGCGCGGACCAGGATTGAACTGCAAGTGGCAAGGGACCATTGGCTGCGGCATGTGGACACTCGTGGAGAGAGACTGAGAAATCCGCGTCCGGGAAACATGCGTGCCGGCCGGCACAAAAACCTGACTGTAGTTGATTTTATAAAGTGACTGCAGGTACAATTAAATCAAGGGGCGTTTCTAACTTTTTAGTTAGGGTATTTATTTAAAAGTAACTCATTTTAGACGCTTTACACATCTGGAATGTGGCGAGGGCATTTATGTTGTGTTTTGAACTGAATAAAATTGAATGATAAAATTTTGCACGGTGGACTGTGAATATTCATAAACTCTTTTACGAAATCATGTTCTGTTAAAAAAAAAATCCCGTAATCTGACGATACATCCTCACTTTTACATCAGCATAGCACACACTCTGTCAATTAAAATGTTTACAACTTGAAAAGTTAAATTCTGAGCAAGATGTTAAGCAAAAGAATGAGAAAAAGGTTGTTAATAATCCACTTTCATTTGAATGCAAACTGCAGTACTTGAAAATAAATGCATAATTATGTAATAAAGCTTTTGAACTGTTGCTTATGATTTTTTTGTTTTGTTTAAATCATGTCACACTGTTCAGGAATCCAGCACTCGTCATACAATAACCTGGGCACCAATGACAAAACGCATGTATACGTCCAACAAGAATCATGCAATTGATAACGCGCGCAGTATTTCACGAGACTCACATCGCCGTGACTCTTGTGGCACGGAGCCCAGCTCAGTGTCGCTAGAAAGTCAGGCGAGAGATAGAGAGAGGGACACGGGGCCTTTAAGGCGCCATCTCAGGAAGTGAAGTGTAAGTTGAACACTTCTGAAGCTGCAGCGGGACGATGATAGCCACGTTGCAGACTATTAAGGGCAGCCATGGAGAAACGACGCCCGGTAGTGACCATGGTTCTGGTCCTTGGAGCGAGGAGGGGAAGGAGGTTCTGAGTCGCTGCTGCTGTGGAGAGTTCCACCATGAGCCGCGGTGCAGGGTTGACGGGAGTGGCATTTGGCTCAGCAACGTTGGGACCCAACGCGACTCGGCCAGCCAGGCTGACGCAACCAAGGCAAGGCAGGTCCGGCTCAGCAGAGCCAAGTGTACCCGGACGACGACACGACACTAGACCACTCGCTCCCCCTTGTAGCCAGTCTCGCCCCCTTCCAGCCACCTCAGGCAGGTCGACAGGTAGACAGCCCTACCCCCTGCCACCTCCGGTCCCATCCAGCCCCGGGCAAGAGGAAGAGGTTAAGAGCTTGCCACAGAACGCCTCAGCTGGTGACAAATCTCAGCCATCGGTGGAGGCCTCGATTTCCAGTGGTGGTCGTTGTTTATCGCGCCCCCTCGCATTCTATTCCGGTTCGCATTCATACAAGCGCCCTTTCCTCGGTGAGGAAGGCGATGGAATTGATGGGAGGGACAGCGGTTTGGAATGGGGTAGATACGTCTCTCTAACCTCTCCCCATTGCTTCGTCCTCACCTTTCATTGAGCTGCACCCACCACCACCACCCCGTTCCTTTGCATGTGCAACATTGGCTGCCCGGGGTTTGACCTACGCGACCCCTTACAGCAGCAGGAGGTGCGAGCGGCAACTTTAAAATGAAAAATGCAGCCTTGGGTCAATCGGGGGGGGGGGGGGGGGGGGGTGAAGCGCTGGGGATAAAAGCCAGCGAGAAGCGCTCATGTTGCCTTCTCTCTTCACCTGGAGTTCACGGAGGTGCCGGGGAGAAAGCTGTCTCGCTTGCAGTTTGAAGGGTGAGTGCCACGTGTGTAGGGCCCAATCAGCGCTAATACGGACGGTGTTATTCTCACCACTCACCTCACTACTCGTGTTCCCTACGTATAACAGGCGTGGTCAGGTGTAATAGCGTGGCTTGAGTGAAGGCTTCGTGGGATGCACAAGTTGTAGGAAAACTGAGAATTGGTTTTATACCGTTTTTGGGAATAAAAACAGGTGTTAAGTAAAAAAAATAGATACCTTTGCAAGGCGTCAAGTCTACGTTAGCCACACATACTTGTGTCAAAACATGCAAACAAAAATGCTCTGATAACAGTGTAACAATTTTTTTTTAAATTCCTGGGTAGTAAGTGTTATTTCCTTATTGCTTATGCCTCAAAAGTACAGAAATCATAAAATTCCGAGCAACAATTGTCAATCTTACCTTCCAGAGGTTTTTTTTGCATTGCTCGCAGGTGAAATGAGGTGCCCAGGGTTTGTCGTGATCCCCGACAGGCATGCCGAAATGTGCCTTGTAGGCCTCACACATCTTAGCAAAATGCGTCTGCCGGATGCTTGCAGCCTCTTGATGCCATCTCAGAAAAATGCAGATATGTATCCACTAAGGCAGCTGGAACTAAACTGAACTGGTGGGCTTTTGGCACCTGTATCTATACTATTTATATTACTGGAAAGTTCTAGAATGGTCTAGAAGTTACTCCAAGTTTACTCAGCATTGAATCTATCTGGAATGTTCTGGAAAATAGGTAAATGTCAAAATATCACTGTCCTGGTCATAAAAGCAAAGTTTGTGAGGAATAATAGCAATTTTCTGTACTTTTGAGGCATAAGCAATTAGGAAATAACACTTACTACCCAGGAACAAAAATTGTGTTACATAGTGTAATATATGCATTGTCCTTGAGGATGATTAGCCTAGCCAGAGACAGCCTTCTGTATGGCCTTGTATCACCAGTAGTAGACCAGAGAACGCCAAAAGGCGAACAGTACAAATGTAGTGGCATGGAATCAGTAATCTAGCAGCATAGCGCTATCTGCTGGTGGGGAAGGGGATCTGCGGCTTACAGCAGCCCTGACGTCAGCAGGCCACGTGATAGACCAGAGGGGATATCTGGGGAAAAGATTACAGAAGGGGCACGTGGGAGAAGCCCAGGAAGCGATTTGAAGAATGTTTTATTTTGGGGGGGGGGGGGGGGGGGCAGAGCTTTGTGACGTCATATTTGTGGGGGGGATCTGACTTTTTGTGACATAAGAGTGCGTGTGCCGTAGTATATCGTATACGCACCGCGCGGTTTGTAAACTGTTAAAAATATATATCCATAAATTAAACGGTTAAAATTACGGTAAATAGTGAAGGTAAAATACCTTCAAATATAAGAAGCTAAGCTATCTTATGTTTAAATGCAAATTACTTTCATCTTATCTTATTGATATATAGAAAAATGAAAGTCTGTCTGTCTGCCTGCCTGTGCCTGGTACAAATCCACACCGTTGAAGCTATCGCCACCAAACTTTGCAGGGTTACCTTTTAAACCCCCGCATACAACCTGGACCACATGGCGAGCCAGTTTTTTTGTATATATATATGGGGGGGGGGAGGGAACCCGGAGCCCCCCAAACGGCACCCCCACACGCTCCTAGGGACGTCACCATCCGTAACCCAGCACACATTCACCTGGCCCCGCACACCTAATGGTTGCATGATGACTCCCCCCCCCCCAAAACCCTTCCTACTCATTAAGTTCATCTAACAATTGCCGTTGACTGCATCACCCAAATTAACCGTTGTTAGATTGCAATTAACGGGCAACCCTCTCGTGTCAAATAACGCGGTGGCATCACTCACGATTCAAAACAAAGCTTCGCTATATCTATCGTATCATAAAAAAAGTAATATTTTTGTTAAAAAAAACTTTTTTTTAAACACGCTTTTATGAAATGTACTAATAATGGCAGAACTCCACGACTCCAGGAAGTGGCCCCGAAGCTTGCCACAACGTAAGGGGGCCGTGGGCAATTACAGCCAAAGTCAGTTGAGCGTGGACAATTAGACCCAAGCTGAAACATAACATATAAAAATGTATCTTTAAAAATATATTTTTTATGATAGAATATAGTATCGTCATCAGTATGACATAAGTATACAAAGTTCGCAGTCGATACCACATTGGCAAGTGGGTTAAAATTGAGTTACAAGATTTGAGGATACAACGACAACAACAACAATAGAGTGAGTTAAATGAAAGCGTGTAATATTAATAAAAACCATTGCGGGGGGCAGGTAATATTTGATTTCATTACAGGACCCCATGGCACAGCAAATTCTTGACAGTTGCTGTAACACCACTGAGATAACCCCTCCTCCTCCTACATTCACAAGGGATAGCCGCAAGTACCTGGGCAATGCCGGGTATTTCCAGGTAGTTCAATATACGAGAGATTACGTTTATTTTTTACAGAAATTCCGTAAAACTAAACCATTAAAATATGTTCGTCACCACATCCTTTCCCATTTGTAAAAAAGGAATAACAATTACACCATAGGAATAAAAGTAATAAGAATTGTATATCTTATATATATAAAACTGTTTTATTGGGTGTTACATGTATAATTTATGGTTGTGTATATACCGTACTACAACATCAACATTGCCTAACCCCTTACACGCTGACGTCCATCACATAGCTGACCCATGAGTTCACCCCGCTATGAACAAAGGGGCTTATTGGTGGCTGTAGATGGGGAGACAAAGTAGAAGAGGAGATGGGGGAGAGAATGGGGATGGGAGGGGATGATGGGAGAGGGGACTATGGAAATAAGAGGGGATGGCAGAGTGGCGAGAAAGAGGAAGAACAAGAGAGCTGTGAGAGAGCCGTGTATGAACGAGGGAGCTGTGTGTGGAATAGGATTTAGGATTCAAATCAAATAAAACTTTACTTACATAGCACAATTCGTGCATGAAATACAAATACAAAGTGCTTTACAAGACCAATTAAAACGACTGTACACAATTGAAACAACAATAAGATTAATACGTTAACAAAAGACGTAACATGGCCTGCCAGCATTGAACCAATTTCTCAACCACATTAATTCCATACACCCATCCATTAAATTCACCATGGAAGTGGAGAAGGATGGTAAGCTTCCATTCCTGGATGTTTTGTTTGAGAAGAGACCTGACGGCTCGTTGGGACACTCTGTCTACAGGAAAGCCACACGCACAGATTGCACACTATACGTACGTAAACGTTGCATACTATACGGACATAAACGAGTCTATACATATCGACAGTCAAATTCCCTCGTTTATCAATGTACGAGTACTGTGGGTTTTTTCATCGCGGGCTGTTGGCTCAGCCCCCCCCCCGCAAGCCACCTGAGGTTCTAATCCGGGACAAAGCTGACATCAGGTGCCTACACACCTGCACACCTACGCACCTTTCACCAGCGTGCGTTGAAGTATGGTCACAAAGACAACACTTTCCCTACCCCGTCTGTGACAGAGTGGGATGAGTTTGTGGTGCCACGACCTCAGAGCAACTCCACCAACGCTGCGACCCCGCCCTGAACGCACCCGACACACGCACACATGCACACACGTAGGGCCCAGGTGGGGGGGGGGGGGGGTTGCCTGGCACCACGGGTTTTCATCCGAAGGGCCCCTAGCAGGGATGTCCCACGGTTTCCTGGTGCCAGGAGATTGGCCGACCCTTCCCCCCCCCCCCCGGCCAATTTACATTGCGGGCCCCCCTTAAATTGGCTAAACCTTGTATGGGCATGCCGAAGCTCACCGGGCTAACCGCGATGAGACACTCACAGCACAGGGGAGGGGCCAGAGGGGGGAAATAATTCGCGGGCAGCGCAGACGAGGAGGTTGGAGGGAAGTTCCTAGCCATCGCCACGGTCCACCCCGACCAAACCGGTTGTGTCCGGGGTGGAGAGGACGGGTGCGTAGACAATGGGTCAAGGCACAACGGAAAGTAACGCTCCAGGTAAGGGCATCGGTTTAAAATCGAAAGGTAGGCGCCCGATTGGCCGCGCAGGTGTAACACCATGTGATCCTGGATCTTCGGATTCCCAAGGCATAAAAGGAGGGAGGGGGAAAAAACGTTCAGGGGGTTCTCCTCCAACCGTTCAGCCGCCCGGTTTCGATTCCCAGCCGCTCGCAGCGTCCGAGAGACGCTAGCCGGCAAGGGGTGGGCAATTTTTTTTTTGACTCGCGGGCCACACATGGGTTCTAAAATTTGACAGAGGGGCCGGGCCAGGAACAGACGGACGGAGTGTTTGTGTGAGCTAAATATAAATGACGTGTTAAAAATCATTACATGAAAGGATTTGGCCTTTAACAGGTAGCAAAAGCATTTATTTGCAAGGCAATTTAACAAATTGCACGAACACGAACAATACAAAAACATGTCGTAACTCCCGGTCAAAGTGCGCCATCTAATGGGTAAATGGGGGGCATTGCGGATTTTAAAAAAAGCCCGACGGACCGTACTTTGGCCACGTCTGCCGGCTAGCGAGTGCCGCTACGACTCGACCCCAGCAGGCAGATACCTCTCGGATCATCGTCCCTCCCGACTCCCACAGCGTCCGTGCGACACACCGTGGGTGCGAGAAGAAGTAGTAAGAGTGAGGGGGCAACACCCGGGGATTGAGAATAGGGATCGGCTAGGCGCTGCTCGTAGAATATTTTACTCCGGTGCCGCGCAGTTGTTTTTTTTTCTTTAGACGCGCCCTTAATAAACTTCAGTTCAGAATATCGGTGTATTGTGAGTTCTGTGTGTGTGTGGGGAGAGTCATAAACTGCTCCCACGTGTCCCACGCAGTTGCGCCGTGCGTGTTTCTTTATGCACGAACGCGCGCCTCGCATTTACGGCGAGGCGCTATAGAAACGCGCATGTACAAACACTGTACGTGTACAAGCACTATACACACACGTGTACAAACACTGTACGTGTACAAGCACTATACACACACGTGTACGAGCACTGTACACACACACGTGTACAAGCACTGTACACACACGTGTACAAGCACTGTACACACACGTGTACACGTACTGTACGTGTACAAGCACTATACACACACGTGTACAAGTACTGTACGTGTACAAACACTATACACACGTGTACAAGCACTGTACATACACGTGTACAAGCACTATACACACGTGTACAAGCACTGTACACACGCGCGTACAAGCACTGTACACACGCGCGTACAAGCACTGTACACACGCGCGTACACGCACTGTACACACACGCGTACAAGCACTGTACACACACGCGTACAAGCACTGTACACACACGCGTACAAGCACTGTACACACACACGCGTACAAGCACTGTACACACACACGTGTACAAGCACTGTACACACACGTGTACAAGCACTGTACACACCCACGTGTACAAGCACTGTACACACCCACGTGTACAAGCACTGTACACACCCACGTGTACAAGCACTGTACACACCCACGTGTACAAGCACTGTACACACCCACGTGTACAAGCACTGTACACACCCACGTGTACAAGCACTGTACACACCCACGTGTACAAGCACTGTACACACCCACGTGTACAAGCACTGTACACACCCACGTGTACAAGCACTGTACACACCCACGTGTACAAGCACTGTACACACCCACGTGTACAAGCACTGTACACACCCACGTGTACAAGCACTGTACACACCCACGTGTACAAGCACTGTACACACCCACGTGTACAAGCACTGTACACACCCACGTGTACAAGCCCCACGCTTGTATTTAAAACGGACGTTTAACCAAACTGCGCTGTTGGGTTTTGAATATCGCGACGACGTGGTTGGTGGTGGTGCCGTTGGGATCAGCGGCTACAGGTAACAGTGTGTTAATCATGGTAACGTGGTTACGTGGGGTTTTTTGTAGTTTATATCTGCGTGAATGGCATTGGGCCTCTGTGTGTCTATGTTGTGTGTCTCTCTCTGCTTTGTGCGTCTGTCTGTGTGTCTCCATGTCTGTGTTTTGTCTCTCTCTCTCACATTTAGTTCTACCTGATGGCGGTTGCCTGTGTTGCAATCGAAACGTCGTACTCGATTATTTAATGTATCTTCTTGCTACGTTGACTTTACCGAAAGAACCAAAGAGTAATTTCTGCAGTCACGAAAGCTTCAAATCGAGTTCCAATGTGTAGTGTTGTCCATGGGGCGAGCAAGGATGGATGCAAGGCCTGACTCAAACCACAGACCGGCATTGCTCACATAATTCACTTTGTGATCATCGGAAGACTGCGATTCTGATCTTGCACTTTGTCGACACACGTGTGTGTCTGTGAATCAGTCGAGCGGCAATATCTTTTCATCGGTTGCGTAACGCTGTGTGGAAGCTACCTGGTCTGTCGCTCCGCACTAAGCTTCAGGTCTTCTCGGCCACGGTCATTCCCTCCCTTATCTACGCTTGCGAAACGTGGACCCCCCCCCCCTAATGGAACATCTTCGCCGGTTAGAAACATTTAGGCTGGCCTGCCTACGATCCATCCTGGGTTTAACCAGACTGGATTGTGTGAGGAGCTCACAAATCCTTGAAAGATCTGGACAAGGTCCCATCGGTGAGCTCCTCCGGCAGGCAAGGCTGCGATGGCTGGGTCATGTAGCCCGCATGCCCAGCCACCGCATGCCGAAACAGCTTTTGTTTGGCCGGATTGAGGGGGCTAAGCGGGCGCGGCACGGGCTAGAGAAGAGATGGAGTGATGTGGTACAGGAGGCACGGGCTAGAGAAGAGATGGAGTGATGTGGTACAGGAGGACGTGGAGCTGAGTGGACTTGCCGATGACTGGTACCAGCGGTGTCAAGATCGGCCTCTGTGGAGGAGGCTCGTGAAGGACGCTACTGGGCAGTTGGAGGCAGTCGCCCTCCAACAACAACGGAGTGCGGAGGAGCGACGCTCACAACAACGAGCGGAGCGCCGGGTGGCTAAAGCACAGCAAGTTGGCACAGTAGGGGGCACAGGTGGTGCATCAGCCAGTCATCTCAGTCAGTCGACCCGTGGCACCTGGGTCTGCCCCGTGACCTGCCAGCGGGCGTTCGACACTTCACGTGGCCTCAGAGTGCACATAGCCTGGCACAAGCGTCGTGGTGACGTCACCGCCACTTAGTGGCGAATGGCGGTTGTTGTTGTGTCAGTGTCGACTCAGCCTCAAATGAGTACCTGGTGCGGTGTGTAAACATTGTCACTGGGGAGACAAAGGCGGTCGGGCGTGGTGCTGGCCACCCACCCCCTCGTGTGCCGTTCCGGCCTTCATAGGTGCTCGCTAACAGCACTTGCCCCTACAGTCTGTTAAGGCTACGCGGGGATCTTTTGTCAGTGTGTCAGTGTGTATTGCTGGTGGGAGCGGTAGTGTAGCGGTTAGCGCTCCGACACATGGCGAACACCAGTGACGATTATCTGAACCGGTTCTGGGCTTCCCCTAGGTCGACTCGGCTTCAAATGAGTACCTGATGCGGTGTGTCAACATCGCCACTGGGGAGACAAAGGCGGTCGGGCGTGGTGCCGGCCACCCCACTCGTGTGCCGTTCTGGCCTTCATAGGTGCTCGCTAACAGCACTTGCCCCTACAGTCTGTTAAGGCTACACGGGGGATCTTTGGCTCTTTGTCTTTGTATTGCTGCTGCTGTATGGGTGCTCACGTGTTGTATATACGGCAGTCGGCTTCTGCTAGGACATTGTATGGGGGATGAGTGCAGTTTAGAACACGGTCCACATTTTAAACAGAAGGCTCCACAGCTTTGCAAGTACAAACTTGGTATGCGAATCACAGTGTCATAGTTTACCCATTCTTATTTACACTTCTTCTAAGTCAAAAGTCTCATTTTGTGCATGACGGGGAAAAGCTTACACTGGGGTGCGTCTAGTTTGGTGAGCATCCTGAGATGCAAAATGACGAAATGAAGTGCCTCCCACAAAATATCTCGGTGGGCAGGCAGGTCGATGGGATATGTTTCATCGTCTGGGACTCGCGGCCACGCTCGCACTTGGGTTCACATCCCTCGTCTTCTGCTCGTGAAGCTGGTGGCCGTATTGCCCCGTGTGCTCTTGTGCGCTGGTTCGGTCCGAGTGTCGTCCGCGGTCTTCGGGGGAGGTCTTTCTCAGGGACCTCTGCTGCCGAGTCAGTGACGAGACGTCGGTTCTTTGCCCCACGCGTCCCACGATTCCGTCCCATCTGTATAGTGGGTTGGTGCCCGCTGCCGGGGTATTGGCTGCCGTTTCCCAGAATGGCCAGCGTGATTTTAAGCGCTTTCAGAAGGGCAGTGGGACAGTAGCTCGTGAGATTGTTGGCTGTTCTTCCTGGCTTTTATGATGGCAACGATTTTGGAGTGGTGCCACACTTATCCCAGTGTCAAGGATGTTGGAGGCAAAGTTGGCAAGCTACATCCGTCCTTTTGTGTCCAGGTTCTTGAGGAATTCTGGGTCGATGCCGCAAAACCCGGCGTTGAACCCAAGGCCCTTTTTTGCCAAGAGGCACAAGGGTTACCACTGCGCCTGCTAATCGTCTGACAAATGCAAATCCTCATTGTTTGTCTTGTGTGTGTGCTGAAGACGGACCCTCTGAGTTGTGCAGTGCAGGCACGCGTTTGCCATCCTTGGAGGCTGTCACCATGTCGCAGGACCTGGGAGAGATACACCCCCTGCCAAGCATGACGGATGTGGACCCTGACGCGCTCTTTCGGTGTCCCTACGACCCCAGTCACATCCTGTGCGCGAAGCGCTACACCTATCACGTGGCCAAGTGTAGCCTGGTAAGGGCACCCAGCGGGAAGCACAGTGTCGTGATGATGATGATGATGGTGGTGATGGTGGCACATTGATATATGAGCCGATTCTGAGGTCCTGAACCCACGCTTAACCAGTGTGGTGAGGTACGGTCAAATAACCCCCTTGGTTAGTGTACCGCTATACGAACGCGGTAACCCAAGTTTGATTACTGGGCGGTGATATCTGTACCAGTTCTGGGCCTCCCTTAGGTCGACTCGGCCTCAAACGAGCACACGGATGCGGTGCGTAAACGTCGGCATTGGGGAAACTAAGGCGGCTGGGTGTGCGGTCCTGGGCCTAGCCACCACTCGGTGTGCCATGTCGGCCTTGGTAAATAATCTTTATTTGTTTTTGATGTAGCGCGCTTCACACCGGGGTGTCTCGGAACGCTTGAAGCGCGATAAGTGACTTGCATCGGACGCATCGTATCTCAACACATTTGAAAGAGCGCATCCCCCAGTGGCAGCTGTCCCTGCGCGCGGCACAAGGCGACTTCGGAACCTGGCCTGCAATCGGGCATTATACTCTTTGGTTCTTTCAGTAAAGTCACGTAGGTAAAAAAATAACATTAAATAAAACAAAGATGAAAACAAATAAATTAAATCACGACGTTTCGGAGGCAACACAAGCTTCCTTCATCAGGTGTAAAAAGCACAGCAAAATTACTTACCCTATATAATTAATCTCTCGTCACAAATAGCTCTCTCTACAGTAATTTTGCTGTGCTTTTTACACCTGATAAAGGAAGCTTGTGTCGCCTCCGAAACGTCGTGATTTAATTTAGTTTTTATTAAAAAAAAAATTACCTACGTGACTTTACCGAAAGAACCAAAAAGTATGGATCCTTGCAGTCACGAAAACTTCAAATCTATAATTAATCGGGCATTAGTCTGCCAGTCTCGGGGGCCACGATTGTTACTGCTGTGTGAGATCCCAAATAAGTAATGCCACCGCCCCACGATAAAAGCCGATTTGAAACCAATAAGCTTTGTTTTTCAAATGAGGCATGATCTCACGAACTAATATGTGTAGGAGTTTTGTCAAATCGCACGGCCGAGTCGTAGCACGTTTGCTGGTTGTTGCAGAGATGCATGGGTTCAGGTCCCACAGCCGCCCTGGTTGATGCCAAGGCTATATGAACCATGAAAAATATGCACCGACCACTTCACAGTGGGGGAGAGGGGGGGGGGGTGGGGAAGGATCCCATCACATAATTAGGAAAATGTAAACAATGTACTGCACCGTCACTGTCCAAATTTAAGGTAAAAAAAACAATCCCCCCCCCCCCCAAAATTGCACAACATAGCGGGACTCTTCCTCTGTTAACGACTTTCTTCTTGGGTGAATAAACGTACGTGTAAATCATCGAGAGTGCGACGCCCCTCCCCCTCCCCCACCCCCTCCCCCACCCCCCTTTCAGACGCACAAGAAGGTGGCACAGAAGATGCGCACGTGCCCATTCAACGCTCGCCACCGGATACTGAGGAGTAGCATGGCCGAGCATCTGGCCCAGTGCCCCGACCGGACGGTCGGCCCGACCGAGGTGGCGCAAGGTCAGTGGCGCCGCCCCGCACGCTCGCAAGCCGGCGTGGCGCAGCGCCCGCGCGGCGGTTTCGGCAATCGCCTCGCCAAGCGTTGCGCGCTGGGGCCATCGCGGCGACGCGTTGTTGTCTTTGATGTCCGGCGACGTGCCACGAGGCGAAGGCATTCCGATAGGGAAGCTCTGCGCCATCGCCTTGTGTCGGAGATCCAGACGACTCCGCCGAACTGCTGCCGAGGGTCCCATCATTTGGCACACGAGGTGTGGTGCACCTTTTCACATTTCCTGCTATTTAGCCCCTAGCCGCCCCTCCGCCCCCCCCCCCCCCCGATTCGAGTGAGTTGATCAGTACCTCCTGTTTGGTGGGTGGGGATAATGCCAGCAGGCTGTCACCATGGGTAGTATCCGCCACGGGCAGAAAGCTTCGTCGACGTACCGCCTGGACACCCTGTGGGAAGGAGCTTCGTGAGCTTCGTAGCGCTCATCAGGGTCGTCCAGCTTTGAATCTCTGTCGGTTTTACTCGCAACGCTTGCTACCACTTGGATGCGCCGGAGACGTTTCGCGACACGTTCAGTTTTTAGTTGTTGTTTTTTTCCCCCTCCTTTCCAAAATGGTGTTCCCGATCAAACGTACTGCAGGTTGCTAAGGCCGTAATTATGAAATATATTGGGGGGGACACATCCCCCCTCCAATATTCAAATATGCTCAAAATGTCCCCCCCCCCCAATATATTGCTATAAAATAGATTTATGTTTATGATTGTGGTTATGGTTGTACTTTATTAATCCCTAATCTCTGCCATTACATACAATGAAACAAGAAAAGGTAAAAAAAAGAAAAAAACTGAGCAATTTAATACAATACACTATTAGACATTATTATTATTTTGCACCCAGCTGGTGCTACCGATAAACCACCTTTAGGTCAATGGTGTCAGGACAAATCGTGAGGTGTTCATAAAACGGTAATGAGCCAAGGTTATTGGTTATTCATCTTGAGTGACTTGATGAGAGGCATTACCCAGTTACACGAGAGGGCCCATTGTAATTACAGGTGGATTTGAACCCCTAGAGTTCGAAACTATATTTTTTTTATTTTACCAGGTAAGGCCCACTGATCTATTAGCTCTTGTTCAGAAGCGACTGGCCACAAATGATGGCTCAACGAAGTGGCTTATGTGGACATTTATATCAGCCAAATACTGTAAATGCACGTTGATTCTAAATGTGGAGGGAAAACTGGAGGAGCCGGAGAAAAATCGACGCGACCACAGGGAAAACATGCAAACTCCAAATATATAGGGTCGGGATCGAACCCACGACCTCCTGTATACCAGTCAAGGGAGTTAACATCTCAACACCGTGTCTCACAGGGGCGGCGCGTGCGGAGAGAGGAGATGGTCATTCTTTGGTGCCGCAGAGCAGCTGGGAGGCACAACCATGCCAGGAGGATTGGGACGCAGGTGAATAAGGAATACAGATGATCACTGAATCGATGACACTGCCATCAATTTCGTGATTTGTTTTGTGGTGAGCGGTTACATTCGATTCTTTTGTTGCAGAGATGGAAGAAGATGGCGAGAAGCAGCCTTACATCTGGGGAATATCTGCCATGTCCCGCAGTAAAACAAGGTGCCCTGCACGTAAAAAAAAATCTATACAAGAATGCACACACAAACCGTTGTAAAACGTCAAGTCGTTGAGTACATTTCGCACGCGCGCCATTCTTGTGGCAAGAAGGTGCCGTTTTCAGCACACCGCCTGATGAGGCTGGTTGTATTTCGATTTAAAGCTTTCGTGACTGCAAGGATTCATCTTCTTTGGTTCTTTCGGTAAAGTCACCACGTAGAATGAGAATAAAATAATAAATTGATAAAATAAAATAACACAATAATATTCTCACGACGTTTCGGCCACAACACAAGCGGCCTTCATCAGGTGAAGGGACGAGACTGTCTGGAGGACAGCGCTGGAGTCCTTGCAGTCACGAAAGCTTTAAATCGAAAACCTCCAGCGCTGTCCTACCAAACAGTCTCGTCCCTTCACCCGATGAAGGCCGCTTGTGTTGTGGCCGAAACGTCGTGAGAATATTATTGTGTTATTTTATTTGATCAATTTATTATTTTAATTCTCATTCTACGTGACTTTACCGAAAGAACCAAAGGAGAGGCTGGTTGTAATTACCGGCGAAACGACGCACTCGAATTGTAACTGTTGTGGGTTTATTCTCCAACACACAGGTGCGCTGTACTAGAAACTAACTGCCTTATTCTTTGGGTCCACGTGACTTTACCGAAAGACCCAAAGAATATTAATTCCTGCAGTCACGAAAGCCTTAAGTTAAGAACGAACTGGCATGTTTTGTTCACGTGACGAACCTTACTAATTTGCTGTGTCGGGTAGTGGCGAGTTTAACGACACATTTATATTTACGCGATCTAACCCCAAAACTAAAACAGTTTGTTTGAAATGCTGTCACTTTTTCAAACTGGACATTTTTTAAAGCAAAAAAAAATTCTGAATTTATTTTATCTGCACATGTACAGTGAGGGAAAAAAGTATTTCATCCCCTGCTGATTTTGTACGTTTGCCCACTGACAAAGAAATGATCAGTCTATCATTTTAATGGTAGGTTTATTTGAACAGTGAGAGACAGATAACAACAAAAAATAAGGAAAAACGCATGTCAAAAATGTTATAAATTGATGTGCATTTTAATGAGGGAAATAAGTATTTGACCCCTCTGCAAAACATGACTTAGTACTGGGTGGCAAAACCCTTGTTGGCAATCACAGAGGTCACACGTTTCTTGCAGTTGGCCACCAGGTTTGCACACATCTCAGGAGGGATTTTGTCCCACTCCTCTTTGCAGATCTTCTCCAAGTCATTAAGGTTTCGAGGCTGACGTTTGGCAACTCAAACCTTCAGCTCCCTCCACATATTTTCCATGGGATTAAGGTCTGCTCCAGGACTTTAACGTGCTTCTTCTCTTGAGCCACTCCTTTGTTGCCATGGCCGTGTGTTTTGGGTCATTGTCATGCTGGAATACCCATCCACAACCCATTTTCAATGCCCTGGCTGAGGGAAGGAGGTTCTCACCCAAGATTTGACGGTACATGGCCCCGTCCATCGTCCCTTTGATGCGGTGAAGTTGTCCTGTCCCCTTATCAGAAAAACACCCCCAAAGCATAATGTTTCCACCTCCATGTTTGACAGTGGGGATGGTGTTCTTGGGGTCATAGGCAGCATTCCTCCTCCTCCAAACACAGCGCGTTGAGTTGATGCCAAAGAGCTCCATTTTGGCCTCATCTGACCACAACACTTTCACCCAGTTTTCCTCTGAATCATTCAGATGTTCATTGGCAAACTTCAGGCGGGCATGTATATGTGCTTTCTTGAGCAGGGGGACCTTGCGGGCGCTGCAGGATTTCAGTCCTTCACGGCGTAGTGTGTTACCAATTGTTTTCTTGGTGACTATGGTCCCAGCTACCTTGAGATCATTGACAAGATCCTCCCGTGTAGTTCTGGGCTGATTCCTCACCGTTCTCATGATCATTGCAACTCCACGAGGTGAGATTTTGCATGGAGCCCCAGGCCGAGGGAGATTGACAGTTATTTTGTGTTTCTTCCATTTGCGAATAATCGCACCAACTGTTGTCACTTTCTCACCAAGCTGCTTGGCAATGGTCTTGTAGCCCATTCCAGCCTTGTGAAGGTCTACAATCTTGTCCTTGACATCCTTGGAGAGCTCTTTGGTCTTGGCCATGGTGGAGAGTTTGGAATCTGATTGATTGATTGCTTCTGTGGACAGGTGTATTTTATACAGGTAACAAGCTGAGATTAGGAGCACTCCCTTTAAGAGTATGCTCCTAATCTCAGCTCATTACCTGTATAAAAGACACCTGGGAGCCAGAAATCTTTCTGATTGAGGGGGGTCAAATACTTATTTCCCTCATTAAAATGCAAATCCATTTATAACATTTTTGACACGCGTTTTTTATGGATTTTGTTGTTATTCTGTCTCGCACTGTTCAAATAAACCTACCATTAAAATTATAGACTGATCATTTCTTTGCCAGTGGGCAAACGTACAAAATCAGCAGGGGATCAAATACTTTTTTCCCTCGCTGTACATCTTCAAGTACTTTGCGATGAGTCCTCGACGCGGCTCGGAGAATCGACGAGCGAAGTTCATGGGCGCAACTTAACCACGGTGAAGGCGTGACGCTTGACCTCTTTCGATTTTCCTTCTGTCCAGACCGCTACCGGACATGCCCGTGTTCGCCGTGCCCGACTATCCACCGCCGCTGTCCTCGTCGCGTGGCCGCGGGGCCCGGAGGGGGTAAGCCTCCTCATCCCACGCGCAGGAGAGCAGTGCCCCGTACTCCTGCTTGGGTCCACGTGGCCAATTGTCCCCCGGTTAGGACCACCGTACGCCGCTGGGCGGCAGTGGTTCCTAAAACCCGCGAGCTTTTTCACGTGCCCCCTTTGCCAGACCTGCCCACCGTGCCCATCCTCCTACCTGCCATTTCCAGTTCAAATGAGCAATTGAGGTTTAGCGAATGGTTCATCGTTGACCTCTAGTGGCGAGGAACGGTAAACCTCACTCGCTGGCCACGCGAGAAATGTCTTGTCGCCCGTTATCCAGGTCAAGTCATGGCCTCCAAGAATGCGTATTGGAAAGGGGGAGAGTTTGTTGGACAAATAGTCTCCGTATATTGCTCGGCCTTGTACTTTGTCAAATCGTGAGCACATTGGGCATTCGCGCTGTTCTCACAGAGTGCGTTACCGCGAAAACGCCGTGTTGCTCCGGCGAGTCTCGGTGTGCAATCGTTTCATCACGGCAGGAGGCGCTGTTCCTACGTGATTTTACCCAATTAGGTGATTTGCGAGTCATTTTTCTCCGCGTGTAAACTTTGGACGTTGACGAATAACGTCACGGGAATCTCTCGCATACAGCCGTGAAGCAGAAGGGGCACGTACGTTCGGTGAATACGGCTGCAGCATTAACCAGGGCGGCCGCTGGGCTCGTACCACGAAGCTTTGCAACGAGCGGCAAACGCGCCACCGCTCGGCCATGCGTCACTGCCCCCCAGTGTCTATTGGTTTCTCGAGTTTGTATAGGTGGGAATACCTTCTTGCAATCGGTCAATATTGGTGTGCCAACGAGAGTAAGGGGCCGCACATAAATGACGTCACACACCTGAGGGGAGGGGTCAGACATTTGTGACGAGTGGGGGGGGGGGGGGGGAGGTTTGAGAAATGTGACGTCACTTCAAAATGCGCAACTTTAAATAAATATAGACGACACGTTCTACTTAATTAAATAGACTTTTTAATAAATGTTTTCTCCTACAACATCAGAGTGCAGCACCACATTAAACACGCACTACAATGACAATAGTTTAAAGCGATTTGAAGCATGTTTTATATTTTTTTGGGGGGGGGTTAGAGCTTTGTGACGTCATATTTGAGGGGGGGGGGTCTGACTTTTTGTGACGCCGTGTGACGAGGGTGGGGGGGGTGGGGGGTCTAAAAACCGTCCAAAATCGCGTGACGTCATTTATGGACGGCACCTAAGACACGGAGGTGGTGCACGTCCGGTGCTTTTGTTGCAGGAACAACTCTGCCGCTGGACCCAGTGGCAGGCAGCTCGCCTCCACGTCTGATACCACGGGCTCTAAGCACAAGTCTGTGAGTACCAGCAACTGGGCGTCCGCCCTTCGTGCGCTCGGCTGCTTTTGACAACGTCGCGGAGCTTTTCGAGGAGTTGCCGTGATACCGATCTAATGATTCGAATCCACCTCCCCGCTTTTCGATCCGATCCGGCAGTCGGAAGACGATGTTTGTGGAAATGGTTGTGTTCCGTGTTCTGGATGGTTTAAAGAACCTGGTGACCGCGGTAGCTAACGTTCAAGTGCTAAAACGCGCTCGAGGCCTTAAACAATGACAGGGACGGCGGTATTTCGCTGAACGTGCCAGGTGGTGAAGTATTTCATCATTGCCGTAGCGAGGGCGGGATGGGGGCGGCGGGGGAAGGGACAGATTTCCCCAGGGCGCCCCACCCACCGATAGCAATAATTCGACTCTGCAATAATTAAAGTCTGCAATAATTCGGCTCTGCAATAATTCGACTCGAATAATTCGACTCTGCAATAATTCGACTGCAATAATTAAAGTCTGCAATAATTCGACTCTGCAATAATTCGACTCTGCAATAATTTGACTCGAATAATTCGACTGCAATAATTCGACTGCAATAATTAAAGTCTGCAATAATTCGACTCTGCAATAATTCGACTGCAATAATTAAACTCTGCAATAATTCGACTCTGCAATAATTCGACTCTGCAATAATTCAGGGGTCAGTGGGTGACGCCTTCAAGGGGCAAGTTGTCTCTCGGCGCGCGTTGTCAATGTTTGCCACCCTAGCTGGTTTGGAGGGCCGTTTATTATTCTCCCCATCGCTACCCCCCCCCCTTCCTCGTAGGGCAACGCACAGGCAAGTGCAAGCTGCAAGTCACGAGGAGGCGCCGCTTGGCAATAAGACTCCGAAGGGACCCAAAGAAAAAGGGGTGAGTTCGGCACCCGCCCGCGGTGCTGTTGTGCCCACATCATGAGAAGGCATGGGCAGAATGACAAGCAAAGATTGGGATGATCCATGTTGAATTGTCACTAAAGTGTGAAGAACATAAGAAAATATCGCCACCCTTATTATGTCATTAACACGGCCTTACAATAATAATGATAAAAGTAGCAGCCCTTTTGGCAATGCACTGACGCGTGAATGCGGGACGTAACATCAGAGTAAGACTAAAAGATCACCAAAGAAATATTAAATTATCTCAAACACAACTGTCGGCAGTGGCAGAACATGCTTGCCAACAAGGCCGCTCAATTGATTTTTATAACGTTGAAGTGTTGTGTAAAACTAATTATGACTGGCCAAGACTAATTAGATAATCCATTGGAATTGAGAGAAATACAAATAACTTTAATCCCTCTGATAGCTACAGGCTTAGTGCGGCCTGGAAGCGTATTATTAAATAATACATATTACAATTCCTTATTGGGGGGAAGCGCATACTAATTAACTGATTACTAACGTAGTATATAATTACAGTACCCCCCCCCCCACCTCTGATTCCTGCACCATATTGGGTATAGTGATTGGGTTCAGTTATTAAATAATACACATTGCAACTAGTTATTAATCTACAACTGATTACTAATCATAACAATTAACTGATTAATAATATATTATATAATTACAATACCTCCCCCTCTCCGCCTCTGATCTCTGCATCTGATTGGGTTAAATGATGATGTCACCCTGCTGCTCTATTTAAGACCGGGAGCAGGTGGAGGGCTTCACTATTCTGGCGAATTGCCCGATGATGCTGGATGTAATTACCAGCGAAACGTCGTACTCAAAAATTGTAAATGTTGTGGATTCACCCTTCAACACACCGGTGGGCTAAAGTAGTGAACTATTTGTCTTTTGTCAACGTGACACTTTTTTTTTACTGATTGGCCGTGTCGGGTGGTCGAGGGTTACGACACATTTATAAATAACGCGATCTAACCCAAAAACCTTTATTATGAATAATATTGGTCGCAAAGCCTACGTGTTAAACTATAAAAATGTCTCTCCACATGCTTTGTAATTCGCCAATAATTGACTCATTGAGTCATTGGGGGGGAGGGGGGTCAGACCATATCATTACCGGACAACCGCGTAGGGTCAGCGCAGATGGTTGGGGCTCTGCGGTGCTGGCAGGTGCTGTTTTGCAGAACTTGAGGATCTTATCGGCGGTGAAATGCGGTTGACAAGATGCAAGCTCTAATAACTCGTCCTGGATATGTTAAAATAACCTGTCTCAAGTATCTTCCTCTACCCAAACCGCTGTGTCCCTGCGGGGCCGTACTATTTGCCGTCGCTGCTCATTGGGCGCTTTAGCTCCACGTCTTTGGGTTTTCCCCGCCACCCCCACCGGCCCAGGAAAGTTTTACAGTGTTTGCTTTTCGTTGGTTCACCATGCAATACGACACGACAGCCTTTGAACCACGGTGAGGGCTATCGGGGTTGAGCCTCGGGTGGTTTATTGACTCTCCAAGCAGTGGTCACATTGGGATTTGGATGACGCTGTAAGGTACACGTGACTTTGCCGAAAGTTGCTCTGGGGGTGGCTTTGAGGGTTTATGGCATCACTGAAAGGGGCACTCGTCTGGCAACCACCCATGGGGCCAGGGTACAAATGTGGATGGCCACCCTTTAAATAAATACACAGACTTTTAACACCTCCTTCCCACATTTGCCTCTCCATGGAAAAAATAAAGGATTTTTTTGGCGTGTGTACACCACATCACATCGGCCGCACAGCCTTGTGGGAGTGCGTGTTTTTCAGCAGCGTTGGTTTCGTATAAGCAAGCTCTGGTCTTGCTTTGACATTCACGTGTCTTACCAGCAGAGTTCGACTTGCTGACCTCTCGTGTTGAAAAGCATGGATTTATTCTGTATTTGCGACGCAAAAATATAATAGAAGCCTGCTTTGGTTTTCCCTACGTGTGGACACTACTATCTCATGCCCTCCGACTAAGAATGGCCCATTGTGTGCGCCGATGCTGCTGCTGCTGCGCCATTTTACAACCTGCCCTGCGATAAATAAGTGAGAGCATGTCCTCCGCCCGTGTGCAGGTTTTATTATCCCGTTGAGGAAAGAAAGATTCAACATAATTTCGACTCGTACCGCGCCGCCGCCGGCAAAGTATCCACTCCCCGCTGTCGACTCGTGTGGCACGGGGAGTGAACAAAGAAGCGTGAAGAATTGCACTGGGACGGAAAGAGGAACACGTGGATCAGTTGAACGAGTGCACATTTTTTCGTGAAATATTTTCAAAGTTAAGTGGGCTTGGGCAGGACATGTCGTTCGAAGAGGGGGTTGATGGCTGTGGTCAAGGCTCGAGAGATTGAGCGAGATGGCGTGGAGGGAACATGCCCCGAAAGGATGTCCATTTCGGACATGGAGTGATGAATCGGCTTGTGCGTTGGAGCTAGATTGTTGGCATCCTGACACCTTGAGAGATGGAAAATGCTTGGGGAGGCGTGGCTGATGTTGAGACCATATATTTTTCCTGGGTTTTACATTTTCTGCTGCCAATCCTACAGCATTTAAACTACAGGATACATTTTGATGAGCAAAAGCTCATTAGAAATGCGTTGGCCTCACAACAGATACACTTAAGTAATGTTTGTCGGGTTTTTTTTTTACGACAGCACGCTCCTGCATGCATTAAACATGTCCGGGCACTGAGCTAGCATCAGAGATCCCCGAATTTAAATCCAGATGCCAAGGTTCTCACACGGTCACGAATTTTCTGCGCAAATAAACATTCACCAAAAAAATTACTCGTCTAATGGATATTGCTCATGTAACAGGTGAGAAGCTGACTCAACACCTTAGCAACTGGCGCAATCACATCGTTCTCTCAAAACCATACAGCTCAACCATCGCCCCCCCCCCCCAACTGCTTTGTCCACGTATAGGCGAGTGGTTGCGCAGCAAGCTAATTTAACGGCTCGTTCAGGAATTGCAATGACGAGTTGCGGTTCGCGAAAGTGCAACGCGTGGCGAAATACATCGCTACATATTGGCGAGCACAACCGCGTACAACTGGTTGCAGAGACGTCCACGTATAATTATCAATTTAGTTGCACGCAACCAAGTTGAGACTGAAAGTTATTTCGAGTACTGTGACTGCTCTTGTACAGTGAGGGGAAAAAAGTATTTGATCCCCTGCTGATTTTGTACGTTTGCCCACTGACGAAGAAATGATCTGTCTATAATTTTAATGGTAGGTTTATTTGAACAGTGAGAGACAGAATAACAACAAAAAAATCCAGAAAAACGCATGTCAAAAATGTTATGAATTGATTTGCATTATAATGAGGGAAATAAGTATTTGACCCCTCTGCAAAATATGACTTGGTACTTGGTGGCAAAACCTTTGTTGGCAATCACAGAGGTCAGACGTTTCTTGTAGTTGGCCACCAGGTTTGCACACATCTCAGGAGGGATTTTGTCCCACTCCTCTTTGCAGATCTTCTCCAAGTCATTAAGGTTTCGAGGCTGACGTTTGGCAACTCGAACCTTCAGCTCCCTCCACAGATTTTATATGGGATTAAGGTCTGGAGACTGGCTAGGCCACTCCAGGACTTTAATATGCATCTTCTTGAGCCACTCCTTTGTTGCCTTGGCTGTGTGTTTTGGGTCATTGTCATGCTGGAATACCCATCCACGACCCATTTTCAATTCCCTGGCTGAGGGAAGGAGGTTCTCACCCAAGATTTGACGGTACATGGCCCCGTCCATCGTCCCTTTGATGCGGTGAAGTTGTCCTGTCCCCTTATCAGAAAAACACCCCCAAAGCATAATGTTTCCACCTCCATGTTTGACGGTGGGGATGGTGTTCTTGGGGCTATAGGCAGCATTCCTCCTTCTCAAAACACGGCGAGTTGAGTTGATGCCAAGAGCTCCATTTTGGTCTCATCTGACCACAACACTTTCACCTAGTTGTCCTCTGAATCATTCAGATGTTCATTGGCAAACTTCAGACGGGCATGTATATGTGCTTTCTTGAGCAGGGGGACCTTGGGGGCGCTGCAGGATTTCATTCCTTCATGGCGTAGTGTGTTACCAATTGTTTTCTTGGTGACTATGGTCCCAGCTGCCTTGAGATCATTGACAAGATCCTCCCGTGTAGTTCTGGGCTGATCCCTCACCGTTCTCATGATCATTGCAACTCCACGAGGTGAGATCTTGCATGGAGTGCCAGGCTGAGGGAGATTGACGGTTCTTTTGTGTTTTTTCCATTTGCGAATAATCGCACCAACTGTTGTCCCCTTCTCACCAAGTTTCTTGGCAATGGTCTTGTAGCCCATTCCAGCCTTGTGTCGGTCTACAATCTTGTCCCTGACATCCTTGGAGAGCTCTTTGGTCTTGGCCATGTTGGAGAGTTTGGAATCTGATTGATTGCTTCTGTGGACAGGTGTCTTTTATACAGGTAACAAGCTGAGATTAGGAGCACTCCCTTTAAGAGTGTGCTCCTAACCTCAGCTCGTTACCTGTATAAAAGACACCTGGGAGCCAGAAATCTTTCTGATTTAGAGGGGGTCAAATACTTATTTCCCTCTTTAAAATGCAAATCAATTTATAACATTATTGACATGCGTTTTTCTGGATTTTTTGTTGTTATTCTGTCTCTCACTGTTCAAATAAACCTACCATTAAAATTATAGACTGATCATTTCTTTGTCAGTGGGCAAACATACAAAATCAGCAGGGGATTAAATACTTTTTTCCCTCACTGTATAGATGTTAAAGACTTGAAACAAGATATTTGTTTACATTAAAATCACAACTTTTTAAGAATATTGTTTTTATCTGCCAAATGTTTCAACATAACTCATTGCATTTCACCTGGATGTGTATTACAACATGTCGCTGAAACAAAAACAATAAATTAATACTTTTAAACGTGTTTTTTTTTTCATGAAATATTTTTTTTTGCAGGGCCTTATCAGCATCCACGGTCATCAACGATCGGTCTATCCTCCAGATGCTGTGGGCCCAGCAGAAACACTTCTCTGGACCTCCACATTCACCTGGACCTTTACGGCAGAGTGGGGATTTATTACTTTTTTTTCTGTTCTTGGCCATTCAGAGGCCGGTGTGCTCACCCACGCCTGCTACGCAGAAGGTCCTGGGTTCAATCCCTACCCTTGACGCCTGTATATTTGGAGTTCGCGTGATCCTTTCCCCGCGGTGGTTGCGTGTATTTTTCTCCAGGTTCCTCCGGTTTCACCCTTCACAGTGCACGTCAAACTCAATTGATGACATGCACTGTTGGGGCCGAATTAAAACGACCACGGTCTTGGACTGTGTTCAGTGTAACGACGTGCTCAGGATAGGGTCGCCTGGTGGTGTTTTTGACAGTGCTGGCCCACGAAGGGACCGTCCATAAATGACGTCACGCGATTTTGGACGATTTTTGACCCCCCCCCCCCCCGTCGTCACACATCGTCACAAATGTCTGACCCCCTCCAGGTGCATGACGTCATTTATGGACGGCCCCTAAGCCACCCAGGTACCTCCTGACATATCCTGAAAGATTTCCAAACGTGACTGGACTTTGGGGTCATGTTTTATTTCGCGAATGCTTTTACACGTGACTTTTACACGGAGCACCAGATAGGCAATATAAATAAATGTATGGCCATATGCGAGTGGACGTCAGCCCACGTAGATCCGAGCCATGTGACAGCCTCCTTAACAAGTCCGCCCGGCACGTTAGTGCCACTGCCAACGTGTTCGTTCGCCTCTTTGAGTGCACATTCAACAGGCCACGATTGCGACAGTGATGAATGTTTAATACATATAATTGGTTAAAGCCGCAAAAGTTAAAGCCGCCTTTCACGTGGTGTCTCGTTTGGCAGTGCATTGGACAGGTGTTTGTAAGGCTTCTTGGCAGTGCAGTATTTGTTAAGCTACTCTACGAGAATATCGCCACAAGGGGCCGCCACTGCATTGTGAATCGTCTCGCGTATTCCTCGGATGATCTCAACCGAAAGGCACACACACACACAGGCTTACACTTCTACCAAGACTGGACTGTATTTTTTTACATTTACAGGAAATGACCTGTACATATACAGCCAAGTCATTCAACTGTAGAGCAGTGTTCGGGGATTTTTTTTTTTTTAGGGCAGGCTGCTTTTGCATTTGAAAATGCGAGCGGTTCAAACGTCAAGCGTTTTTGTAAATTCCGCGTTCCAAACGTTGAACGTAACTTTCAAATGCAATCAGCCACTCAAAAATCCCACGTTGTCTAGGCGACTGTAGTGTTATGGTGCGTATTCGTTTTACTGCAAATCTCAGTCGTAATACAACTCGCTTGTTCTACTACAAAAGCAGGCCTCTTAAAATTTGTTAAACTGATGCCTTGGCTAATATGAATAATATTTTACTTATGCGAGCATGATTTAGGTTATTTTGCAGTGAATGTTCAACTTCTGTGCCATTTTTCATATTCTTGGTTCTTTCGGTAAAGTCACGTAGAAGGGAAACAATAAAATAATACAAATATAAAACAATAAAATTCTCACGACGTTTCGACTGCAATACAAGCAATCATCATCAGGTGTGAAACCCACAGCAAGAAAATTTGAAAAAAGTGGCGGTTTTTTTTACGTTAGCACCACGGAGAGCGATTTGACAGTTTGGTCAGATGGACGAGTCCATCTATGTACGGAAAAGAGGAGGGGGGAGACGTAAATAATGGATGCGGTCTGAAAGCCATTGTCTCTTCCTGTATTTTCCATTTTAAACCTTGTCACCTTTAATAAAACATGTTTTAATCCTGAATGAGTTCTCACTTGGCTGAAATAGGATATGACTGACCGACTGATATTTTTTACGGAAAGCCCATTACCCAAAATATTACCTTTTTTATTTATCAATTGAAAGGTTTATTTTTTATTGAAGACTTGAGAACATTTCCCACCCTGAAATTGTTTTTTTTTAAATGGAGGGAAGTGAGCAGAGTGGGTGTGTGTCAAAAAATGACAATTCACCTGATTACACCAGTACTGATGTATAGATCAGAGTTCTGGACACGAACTAATCGGCGAGCTAACATTGATTGACAGAGAAGAGAACGCCGTGATGGATTTGTGGCATCGGCAGAAAAGACAAGTGAGAAAGGAGTGAGACGACATAGGCTTTAGCCAGTTCCGGATTAAGCTTGTGCGAGGCCTGTAGCATGTGTTTAAAAAGGTTCCCTAAATATAAAAAAAACATTAAAACATTATTTTTTCACTTGCAAAGTAAAGTAATTGTATTTTTTCATTTGCTATACAGCCAGATAATATGACAAATCGCTAACCTTAAACACCCAGTCGTTCATAAAAGTTGAAGGCAGTATAGTACTATAGTGGTAGAGCAAGTGCAGAATCATTGAAACGGAATTGATAGCTTTAACCATTTAGCGTGGGGCCCTTGAAAGTGCGGGCCCCGTAGCATATGTAGCTACTTTTGCTACTGGGATAATCTGGCACTGGCAGTAGCGTCGATTGTGGAGACCTTGAGGGAGAAAAGA